AGATAACTGGGATGTTTTACCAAGAAGTGCAGCAGGCGGCAGGGGTCAGAGACGCCACTCCGCCCACGAACGAATCGCGAGGGTCGACCCAGGGGTATCAGCACAAACTGGCGACAGCTACTGGATGGATCGACCCCGCCATTGGGCACACCTACGTGCCACGATTCCCCCGACCGGTGGAGATGGCCACGGCGAAGCAGAGGGACGACTGGGTCAAGCAGATGACCAGTCGGGACTTGTCCCTCTACGCCGCCAGCAACGAGAGGGAATTCGAGGACTGAGTCGACACCATCGCACGCGAGGTGTCGCTGCGCACGATGAGCATGCACGAGCCCAGCCTCATCCACATCCTCGTGGCCCAGCTCCCACCCGAGCTGATGGACACGGTGGCCACCCTCTCCGACCAAGCGCGTTTGGACGCCGAGGCGTTCGTGTCGGAGATGGTGCGCGAGCTCTTCCCCTTCAGCGGCTACCTGGCGGAGCACCTATCCGCCATGCTCGATTTCGAGCAGGCCGACCTGCCCCACCTTCCCCATCGCATCAAGGCGCGGCTAAACCGGTTCGTCCGGCTGGCGGCGAGGTGGGAGCGGGCGTCCTACATCCCCACGTGGCTACTGCGGGACCGGGCCCTCGCGGCGAACTCCGAGGCGTACCGCTGCCGCTTCAGGGACGTAGCGCGCGACAGACCCCTGCTACGCGTCGTCACGGAGCTCCACGGGAGCAGCGGGCGCGTGGGGGCGCCGGTCTTCGCGGCAGCAGAGGACCTCCGTGTGGCCCAGGACGAGCCCGAAGAGGGCGAGGCCCCGCCGGGCCCCTGCTGTGGGGTCTGTGATGGTGCGCACTACGCGAAGGCCTGCCCATTCCGGGAGCACGCCTGCTTCAATTGCGGCCAGAAGGGTCACCTCCGCCGCAAGTGCAGGGTGCAGTTCCTGCCGGATGTCTACGGACACCCCGCCCACCGCGTCGAGACTGCCCGCAACGGATGGTTCCACGTCAGAGTAGGCGGGGACCGGACCAAGGGCGACCGCTTGGACACCGCTAAGCGGGTGGTGGACATGGAGCACGTGGCGTGGAAGCAGGCGCGGGAGCGCCAGGCGGCGCAACGGCAGGGCGGGAAGGGCGTCGGATTGGCGACCCTGGAGCCGGCGGCGCCCCCCGGAGGGACCGCCGACACGCGACTGGACCGCCTCGAGGAGCAGCTAGGCCAGCTCGTGGCGGCGCTGGCGGCAAATAACCCCCCGGAGCGGGGGGTGGGTTACGGCAGCCCGGACGATGCCGCAAACCCCCATTTTGGGTGAAGGCCCACGTAGGAGGAAAGTCGGCGGACTTCCTCTACGATACAGGGGCCGAAGTAAGTGTGCTCACGGAGCACGAAAGACGCCGGTTAGGCGTGGGCTTATCCGGGGAGAAGATAAGCACCAACACCATCTTGGGGACAGGCGAGTTGCCCAAGACCACACCAGTGGACGGGCAGGTCCGCGACACGGTAAGGCCGATTGGGTTATGAGCCCAACACTCTCCCACCGAGCTACAATCCTGGTATTCAGGTTACGCACTCAGCACCGCCACAATAATTACCCAGCAGCAATACACGGAGCGGCATCCGAACCCGCGCATGCAATGCGTAGTAGAATTTGAATCTACACCCTCGGACCACTCGGGCATCCGTGCGTAACCGTAGATACGACGGAATTTAACTTACCGACAATTAGTTGAGGTTGACCA